TCAAGGCTCGGAATTTACGACGTCGCGAGGTTTCGGGTTTTGGCTAGGTGAGTTTTGCAATTGGCTTTCGGGAGAAACCCCTTAAGGACATGAGGGACACCTACTGCACCCCAAGACTGAAAACATCGAAATGTTGTTCTGCAACTTCAGATGGCCTGAAAACTGTAATGTTTCAATTAGTCATTGCACAATTCGAAACTCAAGGGGTTTGAAAGGCCTGATGGTCGTCGCAAGATGTTTTCTCGAAACTGCCCCGGCCGCCAAATTCGCTTTCGTTTGAGCGAACGAACCCGCTCTTCAGCAGTTACCATCATGTACCACTTCAGCATGAAGCCCTCCTCTAGCGTGAACGAATCTCCAGCAGCAGCAATGCCTAAGATTATTGAGAGAGAATGAGTTCGAACGAGATTCGTGCGTATTACAACCGTGATTTTGGCATATATAATATGGTAGAAGCCAGAAAGTTAGAACATTAGTATCCTCATGCCCCTAAAGTAAAGTATACGGGATCCTAGCACAAATCCTCCTAAATCCATGTTCCAACTTTCTGGCTTCTACTAGTATGGGTGGAAGAATGCATTCCAAGATACGTTTCGCCACTCCCATAGCCGCTTCATCTCTAAAGCAATGCCAGAATCGGCAGTTGCATCCAGTAGCAACCATCTCATGGACTATGTGGCAAAATATGTGGTGCTTGGGTCTCAATTGCCACGAGAACCTCATTTGGATTCGGGAGCTTTGGGTTTGTAGGGTTCTGGCATAGCACGGCTTCGCAACATTTAAAATATACAGTAGCCGAGCATCTCCTTGGCGGCCGCAGCGCGCCGAGCCAGCTGTAAATAGCACTGCAGATGTGCCAGAGCCGCATCTCTCAGTGACTCGGCTTCCTTAACTTGGTATGTTCACTGTACACCCATTTAATTATAGTACTAGTCTCTTGAATCACCCGGCTTTTCCCGAAAGCCTCCCGAAGAAAACATGCACACCCACGTGTTTCAATTGCAATTAAGGATCGGCAGGTTGCAAGTAGCGCCCACACTGTTCCAGCTGACAGTACCAACTGTGCAGGTGAAAAACACAAGCCGCTGTCAAAGACATTCGTTCGCTCGGGTGCTTCTGCTCTGCTTCGCTGCATTCTGCCGCCAGCCAGCTCGTCAGCACTCTGGAGTTGTACGCCTACAAGAACAACAAAGACAACTATCACCACAACCACCAGAACCATCACAAACCAGCACAGCCACCACGACGACGACAAACAAACACTACATGCTAAGCACCCTAGCCTAAGCCCCCCCTAAAGCCTGTAAAACCTAAGCTCCCTGGCCCACACCCCTAATGCTTTAACCACCGCCTGCAAGAATCCCTAAGGCCCCACTGAAACCCGCTATGCAAGCTAGAGGCCTTCGAAGAAAAGTAGCAGTATTCCTCTCCTCGTAGCACCAGCATCCATGAGCGGAATTGTGGTTGAGAGCATTGTATCTTGTGTTTTGCGAGGAACATCTTGAAGGATACAAAAGCAGCTTTCCATTGTGAAGCTTTGTCGGAGCCGGCGAACCAACCGACCTTAAATAGCTCGAAGAGGGCACCGCCATTTGTAAAAATCCCGGTTCCAAGGTTAACCGAGTGCATACTGTCAAACTTGAGCATACCCATGTGAAAGCCTTTCACATATATTAGAGCGTTGTAGGGCTCTCCGATTTCTTCAAGAAGGAAGTCCCGATGAGTGCGCATAGTCGATAACCACGCAGCATTCTTGGAAAAGTCGGTGTACGGATAAGCAGGATCTACTCGGGAAGCTTTGCAGCAATGACAAATACGGTTGCAGCTGTAGTAATGCTGAAGTTTGAAAGTGGAGACGTGGTGTTGCCAGTCGGCTCTCAGCTCGCAGAGCTTGAAAGTGTTGCCGCCATACATAGCATCTCCAGGTTTGCGATTTCCAAGTGGTTTCAAGGGCGGGGCTCCGGCGAAACCAGACGTAGGATACGTTCCCATTTGCATGACATTGCAACTCCAAGCCAGGTATCTCCAGACGCCATCTAAAGACTCAGGCAAAAGCCTTTCTGATCTTATGCAAAATAAGGGAAACCGTGTCGTAAGTACCTTCGGCTTGAACTCTTCGGGGCTGTGGTCGTGCAGGGGAAAACCTGATAATAACAACAGAACGGTGTTATTGTCTGGGCGGCTTTACTAGTTTAATTTGGGCTGAGGAAACCCAGAAACACCTGAACCCAAAATACATGTTGATTGGATACCCAAGCATCTTCCGAATATGACAAGGATCTTCTGCCCCGTCGCTGTATACTCGGCTGCGTCGCCGTAAATAGCGAACGGATAACACCGCTCCAACACAAAATTCTGCCCCAACATCCAAGGCGTCTCGCGCTCGCGATGCTGCATCCAATATCGGCGTGCTGACTCCGCATCGAGGCTCAGCCGGCCGGACTGCAGCAACCAATCGGCCAGAACATGTGGTGCAAGGATGGGGAACTGCATCTCTACTTTCTCTTGGCACTCCTTCGTAACTCTGGCTTTGACCACCAGCGGAATTGTGTCAATCGGAGGGGAGCCATTTGTATCCTCGGTTAGAGCAAATTCCCCGAAGGAGTCAGTACCAAATATTAATGGTAACAAGCCTGGCAAACAACGCATTTCTGTTTGCCATCCGGTTTCACCAGTAGCGGCTGCAGACTCTTGGGCACGCAGGTCGCGCCACACGTTTCCTGCTCTGCTGCCCCGGGCGCCACATTTGGCCAGCTGCTCGATACTCGGTGTTGTCGATGAGCCAAACTCCTGAATACTAAACCCCAAACCCCTAAGCCGTAAAATATGGGGTTTAAGTAGGCTAGGGGCGGTAAACTTCGTTGTTGACCAGACTCCCTCAAAATGCTGCTCAGCGGCGACACTAATTGCATCAGCCAGATCTTGCGCAGCTGCACTACTCCATTCCTCGTCGAAATACGCAACAAAAAAACCCAAAGCACTAATTTTTGCAAACTTACAAGACTACAAAGATCCGAAACGTTAATGCCTGGAGCTACCGAAGGCACCAAACCGTCTGGTAAATACTTTGTTTCAGTATTTGGCTTGGGGATTCTCGCAAACCCTAGACCTTAAACCCCTAGGCTTAAAATCCCCTACATCCCCAAAGACCTTTTCGGCTTCGGCTTGCAGGGCGAAGACGGTTTGCTTCCGGGGGTACGGGTGGGGTGGCATCGGGAGTGAGGGTCGAGATGACGGGTTCGTTCAAGACACTCCTCGGCCCACACCAGCCAGCAGGCGGCTTCGAACGATGCCAGGGACACCTGCGTAGGTTTCATAAGGATCTATATACGAGGTGTATAGTAGGATGCGACTACGTCGTAGATCTCTGATACTCAACAAATACAGCTGGATTTCTTCGGCAACTTTTTTTTGGTCGAGAGCACCCGGTCGTTCTTCAGGAACACTAGCTGAACGAGCTGTGAGGTTGCCTATGCCAGAGAAGCCAGAACACGAAGCATGTGTGTTTAGGATTGGGATGTATGCATGGGGCCTGGGGTTTCAAATTTTTGGGATTGGGGCTTAAGGTTTTGGGGACTCAAATGTGCAAGCTTCGAGGCTTAAGTGAATCAGGGTTGTTTGATACATGTCATGGACGTATGGAGGCTCCCTGTACTGTAGCCCTCTCTTGCCTGCAAACACTGCACAGCGACCTACCCTACTCTAGCTGCGAACGTGCTTCTGAAACAAAAGCCAGAAGCGAAGCCCCATAAATCCCAAGCGAGTTGTTTCAGGGTCCGCGCTTCAGAGCCATAAAACAGTTTGTGTTTTGTGGTGCTCTCTCCTGGCCTTTGTTTCTTCAAGACACTTCGATGACCTATCCTACTCCAGCTGCGATGCTGCCTATGCCACAGAAACCAACATCGGGATCATCGTCAAGTAGAGGGGCAGTGCTTGGGGCTCTAGGGTGTATCTCTGGGACATAGGCTTAGGGCATATAAAGCTTATTTCTGGCGATCCCTCCCCATTGGAATCTGTTTCCTGCAAGCAAAACACAGACCTACGGAATCAAAAAGCATGTCTTTCAGACATCGCACAGCCAATCAAAATCTGCGCTCCACTGATCATCCATTCGGATTCAGCTTACGGGGGCAGCCTTGGCCTTGGCCTTGCCTGTCGTTTTTGCTTTTGGCAGCGAACGCTTGGCAAGCTTCACTTGAGCTTCGTAATTTGCAATGATCTGAGTCATGTGGGTAACCACAATCTGCAACTGATCATCGGGCATGTCGTCTGTATCGATGGCATTCTTCAGGTTCTTCTTCTCGATAATCATCCCATTGATGTAGGGCTGCAAGTCCTTCATCGAAGCCTCAAGCATAGCCTGGCCCCTCAGTGTATTCGTAAAAAACAGCATTGCAAATCCTTGGACCTGGGGATGTATTACCCCTCTTATAATAAGTCTGTAATTCAAACGGCCATTATTATAATACTGAATCGAAAGGGGGTCGCAGCTATCGTCTGTTTCCTATTAAACTTCGAATCCAAGGCGCATGCCACCCTTGCGCATGGTCGCCTCGAGGCCTTCCGCTTCGCTGATCTTGAGGGTCACCTTCTTAAAGAGCTGTTCAGCCGCTTGCGTAGTGGTCAGCTCTTTCTTTGGCTTCCGTTCCGGTTTGGGCGGCGGAGGAGGGCGTTCATCGGGACCGCCTCCGGATCCCCGGTTTCCCGGGGCCGAACCGCTTGCACGGCCAGTCATCTGGGACCTAGAACATCGAGATTGCTTTCAGTGACCCCATTAACAGAGCTGTATATACGGTTCAGGGTTAATTTAATTAGGGTTCTTCGGCTTTGCGCTTACTTGGAGGATCAGGGGACTTACTTATTAGTGTAGTGAGGTTATAACTAATTATAAGTATAGTCGCCTATAATTCTGGTTACTTAGTCCCAAGATCCTCTGAGCAGGTTTATTTCAGGGTTTAAGTTTAGGGTTTCGCAGTTGCAAGGCTTCTCTATGTTCTGGGTCAATTTTTAGCAGAAGTTGTCAGGTTATTCCTTCGGACAAGTAGCAGTACCTCCCTTGTGCCCGCCCCATCCAACTCCACCGCCGTGCGCATCTCGTACTCTTCCTCGCTCTCGCTCTCCGTGAGCTCTTCCTTGCTGTCAAACACCTTGAAGAGCTGCCAGTCCTGGTGTGTCGTGCATGTCTAGCGGATGTTTTGGTTATATGACGAATGCTTTGATTTCGGCCGGTGTTTTTTTTTCTGTTCTAGGTTCCTGAAATGGTGCAGCTGCTCATATGCCTTTAGATTTTGAAGCTCTCGGCTCATGACGTGTGTTGGTTGCAATCGTTTGCTTCCAAAGTTTTTGGGCCTTATAGACAGCATTAAGATCCTGCCTCGTTCAGGGGCATATCCGGATGGATCTTCCACCAAACGCCACGACCCTCTGGATCCATCTTCTTCTTGTTTGCCGCGAGGTCCTTTGCCACCGCCTCGCCGTGCCTGGGGAATCGCGGTGGCTACACTGGGGCCTGGCATTGATTCCGACGAAAGGGATATTTCAGGGATTAGGTTTATACGATTGACACTTGGGGTTTTGCGGGTTTACTGTGTCTGGATAGCAGAGAAACCAACACAATCACTGGGCGACTTGCGCAGATGGGCAGGGTCAGAATGTGCCAACGAGGCACGCAGCAGCCAAGTCGAGCAGCCGTTTCCAAACATACTTCCCACTCCTTTTGCCTTTTTTGGTGTGCTTCATGTTAAGTACCACCGAAGACTGCATCCAATCTTCGCCAGAGGAGAGGAAGATCTCGTAATAATGCTTCATTAGCTTGGGTCCACCTGGGTTCCGGATGAAGAACAAGCTAGGCACGTTGAGGTTTGCCATATATATGCATGGGCTTAATGAAGTGGTTCCTTTGCCGGCTCGGCAGCTTTTACTGGGAAATCTGGACTTGGGATGTTCCTGTAATTGGCGTTTGTTCCAGGTTTGGGGACATTGAGGATTGTAGGTTTAGAGCTTCGGAGGTCCACGATGCCTAGCCAATCCAGTCTAGATCTTATATCCGAGGAATGTTGTTCATTTGGCTTATTCTGCACACATCGATAGATATACTTCTAATAACAACAAATCCAATCGCTGCAGCTCTTGCTGCTGAGTACAGCCACCCAGTAGCTTGTAGCCCATCCACGAAGTATAACTGAAGGCCCTAAATCCTAACTCTTTGGAAATTCTACCCGTACCCACTTACCCCCATACACCCCCAAACCCGTGAACCGTAAACACTAGACCCGTAAGTCTCTATCTAAACCCTCCTAAACCCCATACCACTGAAGTCTGCAGACCCTCAGCCCCGAGTTATAACAATTAGCCAACTAACCCCCTGAGCCCAAACCTCCTGAACCTGGGCACGGCAAACAACTCCAGAAGCCAGAAGCTAGGAAGCGGAAACCCATACCATGAATCAGCCGACAGCCGAACTGTGCATATCCAAGGCTCGAGACTTGCCTCTGGCGTCGAAGAGCTTCTTCCTGACCTCCTCGGGGCAGGTCGCCGAGCCTCGGATCGATCTGGTGATTTGTTGACATATGTTGGCATCGAACACTCTGAGAAACCACATCAAGACAGGGATAAGGATCAAGGTCATTGCTTCGAATTTAAAGGGATTGCAACAGCTGCTAACACAAGCCAGCTTACGAATGGATCTGAAGTACCTCATGTAGCTGGCGTGTGCCTCCTTCTGGAGGCGGTCCTCCTCCTCCGCCAGACTCTTTTTGGGGCTGTTTGGCTCCTTTGCGGGCTTGGGCTCGGTTTTCACTTGCTGAAGCTTCACTGTTGGCTGCGTGTTGCCTGCTCCTGTGGTCGTGGCCTGCTTGTCACCTGGGCCCTTGGCGTCTGAACTGAGGGTCTTGTTGCTGTCTGGCTCCTTCTGCTCCTCAACCTTCTTGGGCCCTTCGGTGCCTGGCTCCTTGGTTTCCTGGTGCACTTGCTCAGGCTTCGTTGCTGGCTGCTTGTCGGCTGTGGCCGTCGTCGCGGCCTGATCCTGATTGTCACTGGGGCCCTTGGCGTCTCCGGGGTGGGCTTTGTCGCTCTCCGGCTGTTTGACTTTCTGCGGGGGCTCTGGCTCGCGCTGCTGCGTGGGATCCGGAGCCCTGTCGATCTGGTCGATGGTGCACGTCGGCGGTCGACGCAACATACGCTGGACCTGATCACAGGTCGGTAGATCCACTTTACCTCCACTCATAAGGTTCCTTACCAGGTCCAACAGGAACTCTCGCTCGTTTTGCGGCGGCCCCACCAAGCTGTCGATGTGCGCATGCAGCTCGGCTTTGGCAGTCGCGTTGAGCCCACTTTTATCGGCGCTGCTGCTGCTCACTTCTGCGAATGCTGTCGCCTGACCGTTTGCAAGCCCTGTGCTTGCTGTGGCACTAAGCGTCACCGGGATCTGAGCCGGCGAACTGGGATTGGGCAGCTCGACTTTCGTCGTTGCAGCTGGCACCGAGATTGGCACTTGCATCGTCTCATCTGGCTGGGGTGGCACTTCGGATGTTTCGATGTGCTTCTGGGTCTCTGCTTCGGGCTGGGGCGGCACTTCCGCTGTTTCGATGTCCTTCTTGGTCTCTGCTTCGGGCTGGGGCGGCACTTCCGCTGTGTTCTCCTTCTTGGTCTCTGCTTCGGGGTGGGGCGGCACTTCCGATGTTTCGATGTCCTTCTGAGTCTCTGCTTCCGGCTGGGGTGGCACTTCCGATGTTTCGAGGTCCTTCTGTGTCTCTGCTTCCGGCTGCGGTGGCATGTCGGTTGCTTCAGCGGCCTGTTTGATGTCTGGCTCCGCCTCCGGCTGCTTTGCCACAAAGCAGCCCTTCATGAGACACTCCAATCCACAAAACGTCTGGGATGCCTGTGCGTGGAATACCCCCCAATAAGCAGAACTTAACTATATATACCCAGTCTAACCTATGATAATACATTGTGGTCCACAATATATCTTATGTAATCTAACCTAGCATACTAACCTATGTAGAATACCCCCAATAAAAACAGAACCAAATTATAAGCCAATCTAACCTATCATAATACAGTTTGGGCTACGATATCTAATGTAATCTAACCTAACATACTAACCTATCTAGAATACCCCCCAATGCAGAACCTAATGACTTAACAGCAACCCTTTGCTAGCCCTGTAACTGTAACCCCACACAACGTTAAGGAGTCTATGCTTGGGGGGCAGAGGGAAATCAACAAATCTTGGGGTTTGGTGTTTCAGGCTCGAGGGTTTAGGGCTGTTGTGTCGGTGTATGTCTGGCTTGAAACTGATTAAACAGCCACCTTCTTGATCATCTCTGCGTCGTTGGAGCAGAGCTTGCCACACGCACTGCAAGACACAGGCTCCTGGTACACCGGGAATCATGTCTGGGTTGCAAACTTTTGGAACTTTGGAGGCTGAGGAGTGGAAGCTAGTTAGACGCAAAGGGATTCAATTTAGCAGGAGGTTCAAGCCCAGTCCTCCAGCAGGCCACTCAAGTCTTGCGACTCTTGTCCTGACGAAGTATTAGGTTGTGCCCCAGGGGCAATGTGCAAGTCTAGCGGCACAAGTTCAAAAGTGTTTGCCGGTCCTGTAATCTTCAGCTTAGACATGTCGAAGGCAATGGTTGATGCCGAATCTGAGTGGTGCGGCTTATCCTTGTAGGACCCTGAAGAAAAGCTTGGGAGGGAGGGAAGTCCGGAAGGGGCTTCCGAAAGCGTGCTGGTTGATTCCATGCGCAGGCGCTTCGAATCCTGAGTGATCGGTGTGGATTGGGTAGATTGGACGGACATCGGCTCGGGGGCCGACTGTCCGGGTCCGGGGCTCTTGCTTGGGGTTTTCGGAGCCGGGGCAACCTTCGGAGGAGGTGTGGTGCTACGCACCGGGGTCGGGAGGGGCTTCGGTTGCGGAGCCACACCGTGCTTCTTTTTAGCCTTTTCAACCATGTCTTGCAACCGCTGGGATACTGCTGGCCGAGGCTGCTCGGTCCGCTTTCCCCCCATATCTAAAACCACTTTCCAATCCTACCTCACACCTAGAGCACAAATCCTCACTTGCCAAGCACGAAGCTCCAAGCAGTTTGCCAAGGAATGCGCTGAGCAATGCCAGATCATGCTGCTGGGACTGAAGAGTTAGGCTGAGTTCAAGGTATGAAGATCAAGGCTTAGGGTTTGGGGTTTGGGTTTAAGTGCTTACGTATACTGCTATATATAGAGCAGAGCCTAGAGTCCAATAGGTGTAGGGTTGGTTCGTGTTTCGGCTCCGGGTATAATTTATGCTAATATTAGCAACGCTGGAGGTATTGGCTTAAGGGGATACCGGATTATTAGGTTAAAAATATGCTAACCCACTACTCGTAATCTGTGGCTCCGATTTGGGAACGTTCGGTGCCGATTGGGCTTAGGGCTTTTGCTTTGAAAACCGAAGAAATGCGCTGAATTTTAAAGGCATGTGGAGTTACCGGTCTAGGTTTTGTTGATTCTACGCCAGCACTAGTAGACAGGAACCGAAAAGTTAAGTTAAGTGTAATGAAACTGGAGGTTTTGGCATGGGTTTCCCGGTTTGAGGCTTCGTTCTTATGCTGTAGCACTAATATAGTAGTAGTTTCTACTTATACTTGAGTTATACAATGACAGCAGCCACGCACACGACATGTGTATACACACATACACATGCCTACGTCACCTCTGCCTACCCACCCACCTACCTACCTGCCTACCTACCTACCTACCATGGTCCACCTTACCTAGGTACATATAAGATCCATACATACGTATACGGATTTCACGCCAAATCACGCGAAATCACGCTACTTCACGTGAGTACTTTCTCACGTTGTACTTTGGACTACTTTTTCACGCAACTTCACGCTGGTTCACGCTGCCTCTTTCTGGTCGGAGCATTCAAACTTAAGTTCAAGGCTTCGGATTGGGGTTTCCGGTTTAGACTTAGGGTTCAGGCTTCGGGAAACATGCAGTAGCAGCATTGCTTTTATTCATGTACCAGGATTCAAACCAGCTGCAAGCTCTTGAGTTCGCAAATTCTATCAAATTTCAGCATCCAGGATGGCATTTTGCGGCTGCTGGTACTGCTGATGCACTCTTGGCTCTGGATTACCTCGACCCTCGGGACTCGGAAGCGCTAATCATCAGAACACCGTGGGCAGGTTAGGACTTCTGCAAGGTGTAGAGAAACAAATGCTAGCAAATGGTGGCGTGTCAGCTTGCATATGGCTGAAAGTTGTGGGGCTCATCAGGCTAAGCATCGCTTGTTTCAGAACTAGGTGTCGGGTTTAGGATGGTTGTTTAGTTTAAATCATCGTTATTGGTTACAACAAGGCCCCGCCGTTATTTATCACAACACACCACATGTACAGTTATCTCTCAGTGACCCTACATACATACTACAACAACCGTTCTATGTATTTGCACCTGGAAGCCTATATCTATATATTTATGATGTATCTGATTGGTCTATCTATACCATAGTTTGTACCTATGTGAATCTTCCTGAAGACTACGCCTTGATGTGATCGAGCGCTTCAAGGTCCCATATAAATTAAAGCGGAATGCCTTCCAAAGGCTTCCAAGTGCCTTTGAATGCCTCCACGAGCAAGAATGCTCGTACATCACCGAGATCCGCGTAGCTCCAGTCGATATCCTGGGAGGGAGCTTGTTTACATGTAATGAAACCGGAAGATCACGATTAGGGCTTGGAAACTGGAGTGATTCCGGGAAGGAGTTTTGGTATATAATCGTTATATATGTATACACAAAGCTCCAAACGTGGCTAAAAAAAAACATGATGCGCGCGCTATGCCATGAGCCTCATGATGCTCGTCCCCAGCCCCACTCAATCCAAAGAATCGGCCTTCCGTCCCTAGCACCTGCATTCCCCGACAGATTCCCGCCAGGGCCCAAGCAGCTCCTTCCCCAGCGAGCGCGTTAGCCCTTTTGCCTCGCTGTCATGTGCCGGCACTGGCACGTTGGCCCCAAGGAGGAGCTGCTAGGGACATGCAAGGCGCTGCCCCACACCCGGCCAATGGTGTGGGGGGAGCCTTCTTTCAATGTGCCTTGGCTCCCCCTCGGTAGGGCCTCTCCAACCCACACAGTGCCACCCGTTTGCCAAGGTCCCAGCACACAGATCTATATTGCACTATCCATCTATGCATTATTCTTTTTGTGTCACTATGGCTTTCCTATATAATCAGTAGCAACCAGAAGCTAAAGACAAATTCTAGAATCAGAAGGAATGGGCCTGGCGAGCCGGTTCTAGTCATGATGTACAATGCGAGTCATAGCCATGGCAGATAAATACGATAGAGTGAGAGAGAGAGAGAGAGAGAGAGAGAGAGAGAGAGAGAGAGAGAGAGAGAGAGAGAGAGAGAGAGAGAGAGAGAGAGAGAGAGAGAGAGAGGAGAGAAAGAGAGAGAGAGAGACAGAGAAAGAGAGGGAGAGAGGGAGAGATAGAGAGAGAGAGAGAGAGAGGGAGAGAGAGGGCGAGAGAGAGAGAGAGAGAGAGAGAGAGAGAGAGAGAGAGAGAGAGAGAGAGAGAGAGAGAGAGAGAGAGAGAGAGAGAGAGAGAGAGAGTAGAGAGAGGGAAAGGGAAAACGGGCTTAGAGGGTTTGGTTTACGGCGGTTTTAGCATTAGAGGCAACGACCTGGCTAGTTCCACGACTAAGGTTTCCGAATCTTTGGAGAACCTTAACTTTAAAAGAGCTTGGGCAAATCGCATCCCCCACTCTGACCCCTATAAACCATAAAGCCCAAATCCTAAACCCTATCCCAAAGAGCCAATGTCCTTTAGTCACTTTAGTATAGGCACTGTAGTCGTTACATGAGATAGAAACCCAAAACCCAGCCCCAGATCATCTACAAATAAGAACATAATCCCAAATCTAGCGTCGGTCTGACCGAATCCTTCAACTGTTGTCGGAACACTACATCTACACCGGAGCTCTCGAACGAAACTGCACCAGAAAGCTCAGGATCGGCCTGGGCATTTACCACTCGTGTCGCCTCTGTCACCTGGTAGAGATCCAGCTGCGGGCCACACGGCTCCTGGACAGGATTTATAGGGGTACAAGTTTCGGATAATTGACATAGTTATGCTATACGGATAACCCAAAATCGAGTTCAACCTGTCCTTGCCCTCACGTTGTTCGCGGTGAATCCGGGCAATGGCTTCGGCAAATCCACGGGGATAGGCTTGGCTGGATCGGAGTGCATCAGGTCGACCCGTCCTTATAGATGTTGGATGTACAATTCTAAAGAGTTAAGCACCGGTGGACAACTGTTTAAGGGGAATCTAGGGTCAGGACACAGCTTCCGTGCCATCATCTCTCTTCTCTCGTCTTACCAGCTGGGATCGCGTGAATTGGGTTCTGCGGTCCTTGGTCATCTTGTTTTTGATCCCCAGCCAGCGCCTGAGCAAACGGAAGCCCCATCCGTGCATCTTTCCCCGTGAAACATGTTCATGGTTCTAGAATTGAGTAAGGACAGCACCCGCATCCCATCAGATAGGAATGCTTTGGCGTCGGGGCTCCGTACAGCCCCATCCAACTTAGAATGCTCTTCAGACATGCTCAAGCTAGTCCTGCCACTGCTTGACACGAACAACATGAATCTCAACTCACAGCAAGCTGCAAGGAACAATAATCCCAATCAGCACCAGCAGAACAGTGGTTCAGCACTTTCCGAAGGTAGTCAAAGTACGGAATATACTTCAGAGAGCTGGATATTGGTTGCTCTATGGCACTGTAGACGTGGCGGACGGTAGCGAGGAAAAGCATTAGGCAGAAGCGCGCCGAGATCATGTTCGTCTCGACAACACCTTATGTGAGCACACGAGCAGGTGTCATAGAAACTACGGTGAACTGAGCACACAATCTTCAAGTCGTCGTATTTGCTGCGAAGCAACTGGGGTTCTGCAAGTCTCCCCACGGATTCTGTGGGCCACGTTTGTGCTTGGATCGGCTGAGCCACACATGATTCGAACAAGGATGCCCACCGTAAAATAATCCCCCGGCTCGTAGCCGGAGAGTTTTCTTCAGGAGCTGGAGAAACCCCATCGTACTGGAAAGGTCTTGTTGTGGATCATCATTCACATCATATGTGGACCTGGGCAAGCTCAGGATTTAAAGCTCGCGACTCTCTCCATCATGTGCGTGCCAGCATGCTTCTGTCAAGTAAATAGCTAAGATGGACGGGCAGCGCTCGCTGTCCCACATCTCCTTAATAAGTCATACTACCAAACTGTTCTTTTGGAATTTGTTGGGTCTGGACATCTGCACCAGAATAAGTTTCCCGCGGAACGCTTTGGCAATGTTGCCAACCCCGCTGAAAACCTCCACCAGCATCAAGTCCTAGGCCCATGTGCAATAAGAACAACTGACCCCAACTGCTTAAAAGCAATCTTGAGGTTCTGGCTCGACCGTGGTTTGCTGCGACTGTCGCAACGTAATGGGCAGCCTGCAACCTCGGCTGCAGTTTCGGGCTCGTGGGGCACGGCATTCTGCGATAACAAGAAGCTAGCTTCGATGTTCAGTTTAAATTTGACCTGGGCACAGTAGAGGCGGGACACCGAGGAGCAGCAACATAGCCGATGCGTTTCCGCTGAGGGACAAAGGAAACACGTCCATCGGACCCCGAAGTCCAATGCACCGGCCGCCTCTAAGCACAAACACACACCTCGACCCAAGCATCCCAAGCGATCATGCCTGCTCCGATGGCGAGCAACCAAACGCTGAGAATCACACACACACACACACACGCGCGTAGATTTGTTTGCGACTTCGAAGCTGTCGCAGCAAAAGGTCATGTCTAGATCGATCTGCCCCCATGAACAAGGGCTTGCCAGAAGCTCGTGTGGTAATCTGGTAGTCTGTGACATAATCTTAGTATAGTAATATAGTATCTAATTCGAGAGCTGGGTGGGGTGTTCGTGGGCGGGCTTGCAGAGCTATTTCTATACTAAGAAATCAAGAATTATAATAACAGTATTTGCACTTATGGGAGTAGTTATAATAATAATAATAATGTGAACAGAAGGCTCCCATAAAGAATTCAAAAGATTGACCACCAAAAAATCATTTGTGTAGTAGCACATACGTCTAGGAATCAGTACATGGTTTATACTTAGCTGACTTTTGGGGCGTTTAGGGCTTTTGTGTTAGACTGCCACAGTGTTCAGGGATTTTAGGGCTGTGGGTCGGGACGTTAAGGTCAGGCAGGCTTTGATTCGCTTGCCGGCAAGCCAGTGCCAAAACTGCCTACGTACTGCTTTGCGACATGTCTACACATTCGGAAAGCGGCCTTTGCGACTCATCTTTAAAGATGTGTCTACTCGTTCGTAAATTTGGCGCGGCGGATCATCTCTTGCACTGCACCAAACTGGCTCTCGTCAAACGGATCCGGAATTGGCTGCCCAACATGGCGCTGCTCCACCCACTGTGCGAGGAACATGGCAAGATTGAAGGCATAGGCCATGCCGAATTTCTGAAACGTTACCTGCGTGGCACCCTGGCTGTTGACCTCGAATTGCAAAGCTTCCAGCTTAATGGATGCTGAGGGTCATGGAAAGAACAGTTCCTCGATAGAAATAACTTCAGACGAACTGCCTTGAGCTTGTGCAAATTTAGGATCGCACGTACCCAGGGGTCCAGACTTGTCCAGGTCACATAGAACATGGCACCTTTCTGAACCGCAATGGGTGTCAAGCCCGGGCGGCGCATCGTGTAGCTCCTTATATGTGGGCATTGTTTGTGTACATGTCGAAGCTACCGAGGAACCTGGGGGCTAAATAAATGCTGGCAGAACACTTCTGCTTCATCTCATCCTCGCTTGGCAGCACCAAGCCCGCGTCCTTGAGTTTTTCAGCTCCGGCAGCAGGTCGGACACCAGCTTCGTCTGGGCAGGCGACTACTCCATGCTCTTGATGCTACTATTTGTTTCCTGAAAAATACCCTGCCTCCTTTTTGGGCTTCTTGCTGTTGGCTGTGGGCTTCGGGAGATCTTCGGCCTCCTCGTCTTCCTGCTCCTCGTTGTCCTTCTCCTGAACATCCTTCTCATCCGCTGCTGTCTCAGCTGCGGCATCCTGTTTGCGCTTTTCTCCTTTCTCCTTGTCTTCTTCATCCGGCTTCTTGCCTCCCGATTTTTTTCTCCCTTTCCCTTTGCCTCAGCTAGAGACGATGAAAACACTGAATGCTGGCTGTACTACATTCCAATCAGTTGAGAGGCCCTTCATGGCAAGCTTCAGGGCTTTCGCCTCCCGTGCCTCCGCCTTTAGCGCTTGCTGTTGGTGGAGGATCTCGAGATCCCCAACATCCCCTCCCATCTCCTTCAGCTGCTCTCGAAGCTGAACAGCTCCAGCGGGCAGCAACGGTCCACTGGAATTCGTCACCCCAGAGCTCTCCTGATTTAGTCAAGATGATTGGAGAAATTAGAGGATTTTCTCATTCAGCTTCGAGCACTAGAGCACACTCACAGCACGTGTAAGCGGTCCATGCTGTGTTCACCGCAGTGGGAAGCCTCAAGCAACATCACCACCCGAAACCCGAAGCCTTAGCCCAAACAAATATGAGAGCCAAACGTCGGAGGCACCGGGCTGCATCTTCCCATCGCCGGGTACGGACGACTTGGCATCTGGCGAATCCTGGGAATCGGCAATTCAATGCCCTACTACCTGTAACGCAGAACCCCTCAGCTGTAACCGGTACCCGGACAGCCTGACCCATAGAATCCCGAAACCCACTGTAAACGATCATAAACCCAACCAAACCCTGAAGCTTCAAACCCTTAACTCCTGAAAGCCCTCGACCCTACAATCCAGAACAAGCCTAAATCATCAGCCGGGCAAACTAAGTTCCCTAAGTGTCGACGAGGGACAAACTACGCAGTGAGAGAATATTCCAGTTGGTGTGAAGTTGCACAACCCATTAGAGTTCTGATCGCAGGGCGATGCAATAATTTTGGTGATTTAAATGGATTGTTAACTAGGACTTAATGGTTGTAAAGTCTCCTATGAAGGCTCTTATAAGAGCCTTCATAGGATACTTTACAACCATTAAGGGGTCCAGGCTCTAGTTTTTAAGGTTCTTGGGTTTGAGTATTGCCCTAACAGCGGATGAGAAATTGCAAAGCCTCCCTCCGCAACCTCATCGGTACTTGGGCCCGCCTTAATAAAACAGCACATCATCCCGAAATCTAGAACTTCTAACCCTTTCAGAAGTCATCCTCATCCCGCGAAGCCAATAGTCCTCATGGGTGGGGGCAGGCAACTCCGCATTGCTGGGATCCTGAAACCGTGGCACTTGAAACGCTTTCACAAAGCATCCCGAGCTTGAGCCCAGCAGTCCTTGACGGTCGGGGCAGGCAACTCCGCATTGGTGGAATCCTGATATGCAGAACTTAAAATCATCACCTAAACTACACAAACCCTTTCGCAAAGCATCCCGAGCTTGAGCCCAGTAGTCCTTGACGGTCGGGGCAGGCAACTCCGCATTGGTGGAATCCTGATACGCAAAACTTAAAATCATCACCTAAACCACACATAAAAACCGAGGCACTTGGAACCCTTTCACAAAGCATCCCGAGCCCTTGAGCCCAGTAGTCCTCGACGGTCGGGGGAGGCAAATCGGCATTGGCGGAATCCTGAAGATCGACTCTGATTATTATTGTTTAATCCTATGATGACTCTGCACTGTATCCTTCCCCGACAACGAGCTAGCAGCTTCTTTCGAATCTGAGCGATCCCGGGGCTCGGCACGCGCACCCCATAAATGCACCCTCAACCACAACAAAGGTTCTTGATCATTGATCACTGGAGCCACTTGGTCCTTGTCGCCGGACGGTGGCAAGGCCCAATAAGGGAGCATGGCAGCATTGCGGACATTGGCCTTTGCGAAACCAGATTGGAGGGGTTTAGGGGCGTATAAGGCTTCAGGGTTTGCTTAGGCACTAGGGTTTCGGTAGGATTCTCAGTCTGGAGTGGGATTGGAGCAAGGGTTTCCGGGCTTTAGGGTTACAGGGTTCCAATTGAAAGACCCCAGAACTAATGGGTCATCCGGATTACAAAGAGCCTGTATCTCCTGGCCACAGCTCCTCCAATTAATCGAGGTAGAGTTCGTTGGTGCGGTTGCCTACAATGCTCGAACCTCGATCAGCCTGAAGCTTGAAGTTTTCAACCTAGCAACCCAGAGCACTTGTATAATCCCAATCCTGTAGCCCGGTCAGAAGCTCTCACCGAATTACTTTCAGCGATTCTTGCAAGATCTGCTGAAATTCGCTAGTTGTAGCCAAACAACCAAGGCCCTACAGTAGAAGCCAGAAAGTTGGAATATCATTATCGTAACCCCTTTAAGGTAAATTTTTGGGGATCCTACCATTAATCCATATTCCAACTTTCTGGAGTTCCCTGTAAGCCCCCAAAAAACCCAACTGGATGCCCTAAACCCTTCATTAAAGTAAACCTCTAAACCCTAAACCGGCCTCTCTAATTTTTCCCACGCTATGATATGGGTAGTTCTCCAAGGTATCTTTAAGGGTTTCTCAACGATCTAATTATAAGATAATTTTCACATTAGCTGAAAGTAGGACCGTGCTCCCGGAGACTATCAGTAGAGTCTGGATTCCGAGCAAATCCAAGGAAATCATCTGGAAACCGAAAGCTACAGCCCGCAAGCAACGAAAACCCAAACAAGCAAGCGCAACCCTAAACCACTCAACCCGACACCCCTGCATGGATCTCTGAGCCCGGTTCTCCTCTGCCGTTTCCTTTCCCCAAGAGCCGCAAGGCATTGGCTTCGTAGGGGTCCTAGTGTGGAGGTCTGGAAGCGAGGGTGCATGCGGAGTGGAGGGGTATACGATGGCGGTTGAACCCAAAACCCACTAACCAAGGTTTCCTCGGCCCTCACCGTTGGCTCCGGCCCTGGCGCTGCTTCTGCTGCGGGCGCTGCTTCTTCTGCGGGCGCTTCTTCTGCTTCGGGCACCTGCGCAGATGGACATTGGAGTCTCGATGCAGAAAGCTGGGCGAGCATACGAGCCAGGGACTTCAGTACAAGAACCCGACCTGAAACCGAAACCCATAAATCGAAGGAGCTGCCTCTCCCTCTGTTGTCTCATCCCCCTCCTCACTCAGGAAGCTCCTCGTGTACCCGGGCACCTCGGCAGGGAACAGCTTCAGGTGAGGGCAAGTCAGATTGTTGTAGACAAATGCACAAGCCAGGGAACATGCACAGCTTCCCCGTCGTTGCCCTGGGCATCCCAAGTAATCTCTGGCGCCGCCTAAAGTGCAAGACAACAGTTTTGAATCAGTGCTCCATACATGTTAAGGTGCACTCGTGTGGTGAGGTATAAGTGCAACATCCGAGCAACCATAGGTCTGAAACCAGGCAAATCCGCGATCAAATCCTTCAGCGCTTGCATTTCTTCCGTCCTGACACAACAGTATGATCATTGCAATGCACTGATGTAGCACCTACCTTCATAGAACCACGTGTGCAAAGTTCGAACACCGAATGGTGCACCCAGACCTCGCCACGCGTGTGCGGCGGGTCATCCGGATAGCCAGCACGAGAAGTGCCCGCAATCTGCCGGCCTGTAAGCCAGCCCAGTCCTGTGTCGAAAATCAGAATTATTGGCATGATGATATGGATGATTTGGTGCTTCAATACGAGGGTCTGTCCTGAATTTCCTTCTTGAGGAGCTTTGTTCCGCGCTCGGAAGATGTCAACAATCCACGCTGTTTGTTGAGCTCAAGAAAGGCTTCCTAACAGGGTGACGTTGCATGTTAACCAATCTTCCTCTGGTTATATAGTCCCACCTTGATGGTTGTACAGCTGGGCACAGCCAAGCCGAACTTGACAAGCATGTGCAGCAAGATCGTGAAATTCAGAACGATCTAGGTAAGCATAAGCAATCGCTGCAGCGCAACAGCTCCCCACCACAAGCAATCAGAGGCTCAGCCGAGTAACATCTCTCTCGAAGACACCGGCAGCACGCACCGAGGCTGGGTCGATGAGGATGACATCCTTCGCCTGATGCTGGAAGAAAGCGGTTCGAAAAGGTGGTGTGTCCCACACACTGAGCAACTAGATATCTTAGGCAAGTGTCGGGGGACTGTCGAAGCTCATCCCAATCAATTTCCAGAGCATCCTCCATGATGGTATAAATCAGAGTATACTCGGGCTTCGGCTGCTCCTCGGTGACTCTGGGTAAGTGCACATCGGACCCCGGTGAAAGATTCTAGAACGGAATCAAGACAAAGGTCCTGTCCGAGGTCCATATTTGGCTGCTCCATGCCGCCAAAAGAAAAACCCTGGGCCTGCCTAGAAAATCTAAGCCGAAAAGCTCGTTTGAATCACATTTATACCCTCAGCTGTTACACGTGTCCAACAAGCCTGCACCCAACACCGTCACTGCACAAAAAGCAGCGGGAGGGGGGCATACCATCGGTAGCGGGAGCGCTCCCACTACTGGATTCCGCCGAGCCGGTCAGCTGTCGGTTTCGTGCCATTGCGATGGCACGCCTCATC